TTGCCCATGTTAGGCACTGAGCTCCATCTCCCACTCCATCTTGGGTTTTTCAGATGTATGTAGATATTATTGTAGTTGATAAAATAGTAGTAATTTGAGTTTTTGAGTCTCATCAGTATTATATGGTTTTGTTCTTGAGATGATGTCTCCCTAGAGTGGCCTAGAGTTTGTAATCTATGGATTATAAGTGTGAACTCTTGCTTTTATCCAGTAGTATATTTTTAAGGTAAGGTCTTGCTATGTTACCTAAGCTAGCTTTGAACTCCTGGATTCTGGTGTTCCTCCTGCTTCAGAATCTCATTAACTGAGATAACAGGTGCTCATACACGCAAACTTTTTTTTTTTTTTTGTCCAGTCGTGGGGCCTGAACTCTGGGCCTGAGCGCTGTCCCTCAGCTCAAGGCTAGCACTCTACCACTTGAGCCACAGCGCCACTTCTGGCTTTTTTCTTTTTGCTTATATTGTGCTGAGGAATCGAACCCATGGCCTCAGGCATGCAAGGCAAGCGCTCTACCTCTGAGCCACCTTCCCAACCCCACGTGCAAACTTTTTGCATCTGTATTAGAGCATTTCTCATTGTAGATTTTTTTTCAGCAGGTTGTCTGGTAAAAGGAAGTCTTTTTGCTTTTGCTTGCTTGGGGTTTAGAAGTTCACTGAAGAAAACTCACATTAGGAAAAATACTTTCCGATGTCCACTTTGAGAAGCACTTAGATGAGGGAAGAGATGTTGAGAGGAAACACAAGACTATATACATGTTAGGTTAATGACCCAAGTGATACTTAGTTCAATATTTTCAGGACTGTACAGCTTGTGTTTTTCCTTCTTTTTGTGCTCTGAAGGGGCATTTATTTTAGTAAAACCAGATGTTTTAGTCACTTAAGTATTTCTTTCAGAAATGGTCTAAAAGAGCCTGTGACACAGGCCAGTAATCCCAGCCCTTGGGAGGCTGAGGCAGGAGAATTGTGAGTTCAAAGTCAGCCTGGATTACATAGCCTAAACTACGTGTAGCCAGATCCTGTCAGTGGTACTGGTTTTTGCTAATATTGTCCAGTTGAAATAGTCACACACTTACTACTTTTGGCTGCGGCAACCAGGTTAAGTCTTCAGGATTGAGATGGTAAGCTTCTAAAAGCCTAAAATGCTGGGTTTTTTTTTTTATTTGTTTGTTTGGGGTTTTTTTGGTGGGGAACGGGAAAGTAGTAAAACTTTTGAAAGTTTTTTAAAATTAATTACTTTTTTGGGGGAGTCCAGTTGTGGGGCCTGAACTCTGGGCCTGGGCGCTGTCCCTCAGCTCTTCAGTTCAAGGCTAGCGCTCTACCACTTGAGCCACAGCGCCACTTCCAGCTTTTTTCTTTTTGCTTATGTGGTGCTGAGGGCCTCATGCATGCAAGGCAAGCACTCTACCACTGAGCCACCTTCCCAGCCCCTACTTTTTTTTTTTGGCCAGTCCTGGGTCTTGAACTGGGGACCTGGGCACTGTCCCTGAGTTCAAGGCTAGCACGCTACCACTAAGCCACAGTCCCAGCCTCTAAGTAATCATTTCTTATGTTAATGAAACCTGGGATGTTTAAGTAGGTGTTGGGTCAGTTGTTCCTTTCTTCCCAGTGTTTTTTTTTTTTTATTGTGAAAAAACTGTACAGAAGGGTTACAATTACATGAGCAAGATGAGTACATTTCTTATCAAGCATTGTAGCCTCCTCCTTTGTTTCCCCTTCCCATCCCTTCCAAGCCTCCCCCCCCCCACTCAATCCTCCCCTCACCCCCCCACCAAAGTTGCAAAGTTCGTTTTGGACATGACAACTTGTACTTATTGTTGCAATGGGTCCACCTGTATCCTTATTTAAACGACTTGTTTTTCCCCTTCCCCACCACAAATTATACCGACATCAAATACAGTGAAAGCAGGGGTTATACTGTGGGGGAGGGACATACAAAGCAACAAAGAAATAATCATATAAATGCGTTAGAAACATGCATGAAAGAAAAAAAACATTTAAATACATATCTTAGGGTTCATTTTCCTAACATCACCTTATCTGACCTTTTCTGCTTGACTCAGACATATACTAACTATTGCAAATGAGGGAAACCATGGGACCTGTGTTTCTTTGGGCTTGGCGTACTTCACTTAATATAATTTTTTCCAAGTCTTCCATTTCCTAACAAATGGGGCAATGTCATTCTTTCTCATGGAGGCATAGAATTCCATTATCACTCTCAACAGTGGGATCAAGTGCCAACTATCTACTTTTGCTCAGTTTTATGATTTTTCTTATGACAGAGTAAAATTTCTTGCACTTGGGTCTCATCAAAAATTGGGAGTTTGAGCTGAATGTGGTAGAGCAGGCCTATAATTGTAGCACTTAGTAGGCTGAGGCAGGAAGGTAATTTGGGGCCAACTTGAACTGCACAGCAATTTTTATCTCAGCGCCAAAAGTTTAGAGTTTGAAAGTCTGGGAAGCATGTAAGACCCTGTCTTTGGCGGGGGGGGGGGGGGGGAGTAGATGGGAAGGGGAAACAAAGGAGGAGGCTACAATGCTTGATAAGAAATGTACTCATTATCTTGCCCATGTAATTGTAACCCCTCTGTACAGTATTTTCACAATAATCCTAGCTATTCAGAATCGTGGTTCAAAGCCAGCCTGGGCAGGAAGTTCCTTGAGACTTTGTTTGTTTGTTTGTTCTCACTTTTCTATGGACTTGGATAGACTTTTTTTGTCAGTCGTGGGGCCTGAATGCTGTCCCTGAGCTCTTCAGCTCCAGACTAGCGCTCTACCACTTGAGTCACTGTGCCACTTCTGGCTTTTTCGGCTTATGTGGTGCTATGGAATCGAACTCAGAGTCTCATGTGTGCAAGACAAACGCTCTATCACTGAGCCACCTTCCCAGCCCCTCTGCAAGACTCTTATCTCCAATAAACCACTCAGAAAACTGGAAGTGGTGCTATGGCTTAAGTAGTTGAGCACTGGCCTTGAGCTGAAGAGCTGAGGGACTGCATCTAGGCCCAGAGTTCAAGCTTCATGACAGACAAAAAAGGGGGGTCATTAATTTAGCATGTGCAAAGCCATAAAGTCAGTGCTCCCTGCTTCCCCCACCCCCTTCCCCCCAAAAAAGTTTGGAAACAAAAGGATACATATATAGATTTCAACAAAAATATTTTCTCTATTTCTTTTGGTGGTATTGGACATTGCCAGCAAGCACTCTACCACTTGGGTCATGCCCAGTTCTTTTGATATCAGTTTTTTCAGATAGTGCGTCCTACTTTTGCCCTGGTCATCCTTGAACCTTGATCCTCCTACCTCTGCCTTCCAATAAGCTGTGAAGGATTACACTACACTCAGCTAGTTTTTGAAAGAGTCTCATTAACTTTTTGCCCTGGCTGGCCTCAAACTGCTGTCCTCCTATCTCTGCCTTCTTTGTAGCTTGTGTTTGCCTCTATACCTGGCAAGAAAAACACTTCTTAGACTCAGCTTGCTTTATTTTATTTGACTCTAATGGCTTAAGTTTGTCTAAGATAACAGAGTTTAGAATTCTTTTGTAAATGTTAGCTGTGGATTTAGCTGTAGTCATAGTAAGAGTAAATGCCCTTGATTTTTGAGCTTTGGCAGTTGGCAACTTTCCAAGCATACATAATGCAATGATTAACAGTAAATAATAAACATGGGTTGAATTTAAGTAGATATTTATAACAAAGTAAACATTTTCCTTGATACTTAAGAATTATTTTGTTTGAAGATACCAGTTTCCATGGATGAGGATGTATGATTTTGGAGCTATTTTATTTGTTCATTTATTTTTTGTGGTACTAGGTTTCAGTTCAGGGCCTTATACTTGCAGTGCAGACACTTTTGTGGCTGGGACTTGAACGTAGTGCCTTTTGAATGCCCTACCAGTGAATTACATCCTAGTTTTCTCAGTTTTTTTTTTTTTGGACGTGGGGCCTGGGCACTGTCCCTGAGCTCTTCAGCTCAAGGCTAGCGCTCTACCACTTATGCCATAGCTCCACTTCTGTTTTTTTGGTGGTTAATTGGAGATAAGAGTCTCATGGACTTTCTTGCCCTGGGCTGGCTTTGAACTGAGATCCTCATATCCTAGCCTCCTCAGTAGCTAGGGTTACAGGTGTGAGCCACTGGCTCCCAGCTTTTTCTCAATTTGTGATATAAGGTAGAATGACCTACAAAACAATAGTTATTGGAGAGAGAAATTTATAACGTCCTATCATTTGGTCACTAAATGAGTAATTTATTAAACTGTGGTTGTGTGTGAGAGAGAACAAGCATTCAAGAGACCAACTTAAAAGAGGAGGAAGGATTTATTATAGCTCAGGTTCAAAGATTTTTACCCACCCTGACAGGAAGGATGATTGAGCAGCTCAAGCCCTGGTGGGCAGGAAGCAGAGTGAGGCTCTAAGAGTAAGGGGCCAGGACAAGCACAATGACACTAAGTAACCTACTTCTTTCAACCAGACCTGCCTTCTCCCAGTTAACTATTCACGTTTGATTTTTTTCATTTACTTTTCCTGTATGTACTTGCATGTATGTGTAATGCTGGAGATTGAACCTAGGGCTTTGTCTGTGCTGTACTGGCACTCTGAGCTACATGGCTAGCCTTCTGTTGGCATTTTCAATCCATCTTCTTAAAATTGACCTCTGACACACCTGCCCACAGGTATGCTTTGCTGATCTCCTTGGCATTACTCAGTCCAATCAAGTTGACAGATAAAAGGAGCTATCACATCAATTAAAGAATCTTGTTACAGGGGCTGGGAAGGTGGCTCAGTGGTAGAGTGCTTGCCTTGCATGCATGAGGCCCCGGGTTCAATTCCTCAGCACCACAAAAGCAGAAAAAGCCAGAAGTGG